TTCAAAAGTGATCGGCTCCTTTCTCAAAAGTCGTTTGGATCTTGTCCGCATGGTCCTCCGAATGGATCAAAAGTAGATTCGGATGATTCTGCTGACTCGTCAATTTTGTCGGTTTCTTCTTTCTTATCTGTCTTTTGTAAATAATCCAGATATTCTTTGAGTAGCCTTGGATCTTGCATCATCTTTTTCATCAAAAAGTCATTTGAAGTGGCTTCGGATACCATTTCGGTATCTTTTTCTTTCTTTATTGGAGTAGTGGTTGGTTATTTAATGGTTTATAATTTATTACTAATCTTGGAACTCCTCGTTCTTTTTCTGCTTGATTCATAACATAAAATGCAGCACAACTCCATGGTGATTTTGAGGGGGTTATTAGTTTTTTATCTATTAATATTTTTATCTCTTTTTTACAAAATTCTAATAAATCAGAATTCATTTGTATTGGTCTAGCTTTAGTTGGAATATTCTTTTCATTAAAATCTTTTTCATAAGGTAATTCTATCATATGTTGTTTTCTATCCCAAAAAACATTAGGAATATCTGCACAAATTTCTTTTTGTAATAACTCTTCTAGTTCTGATATTCTTTTTTGTATTTTAATATCTTTTAATTGTTCTTCAATTTTTAAATGAGACTTTTCTTCTTTAATATAGCTTATATGTTGTTGTACTTTGGTAATAGCATTTATTGTTTTATAAATAGAAGATGTTTGTAAAGTCTGTAATTCTCTCTGTTTTATTGGAGTTAAGAACTTAAAAGTAATAATTTTTCCCATTATATTTATCGAAATTCCTTCATTACTTACTAAAAATGGATAAATCTGTATTAAAAAAGGTGTTCCTAATATTATATCATGATTTATATTTTTTACAATTATGAAATTATGTTTAATACAATATTCATTATTACATATTGATCCTTTTGTAAATTTATATTTTACTTGTAAATTTTCTCCATTTGCTGCCATCAATGTTTCATTTGTCCTTTCACAATATTTAGTAGGAATTATTCCTTCTTTTATACAACTTGCATCAGCTCCACTATCTATTAGAGTTACAAAGGTTTCTTTGAAATCTTCTACTGTAATTGTTACTAAAGCATACCATTTTTGAAATGTCATTTTTTCTATTGTATTTAAATATTGATCTTCATCAACTGGTTTTTCAGATATACATATTTCTTCTGTTTTGGAATTAGAAGTTGAGGGTTGATTATTTATTAAGGTTATTTTTGCTTCTATTTCTAAATCTTTTGTTTTTAATTCTATAATCTCTTGTTGTAATTGTTTTATCTGTGTTTTAAGATTATTGATTTCTGTTTGAAGATCTTTAGTCGTTTCTTTTTTCATTATATTTATATTTGGATATTTATCTATTAATTTTGAAATACTAAAAGGTTCTATTATCTTTGGCATTTTGTCTTCTTGAATTATTAGACTTTTTAATCTTTCTAAATATTCTTTCTTAGCTACTGGATCTTCGATTTTTTCTATTATGTCTAATAAGAATTTTTTATCTTCTTTTTTAGTTATAACGTTTATATATTTTGGAGTGCAATTACAATTTTCTTCATTATCTGAACTAGATATATCATTATAATAATCATCTTCAGAACTTTGATCTTTTTCATTTATTAGTAAATTTATTAATTTATTTTTAATTTCTTCTTCGTCTGCACAGATTTCTGTTATTTTTTCCCTCAATCTGCATTTATTTGCTTTATGTCCTATTTTTTCACATTTGTAACAAACTATTTTTCTTTTAATAAATTTTCTCTTTCTATCTGGTCTTTCTAGTTTATCTTCTTTAGGTCTTTTGTATTTTAATTTTGTATTATATTTTTTAACTTTCTTTTTGTATGCTGATGGTGATTTAATTCTTTTAATTTCAAATGCATCACAAAATGATCCTACTTCCTTTGTTTTAGAACCATATTTTATTTGTAATCTTAATTCTGAACATAACATTAATCCTTCTTTTTTGACAAATGCAAATAATTGCCCAAAAGTAATATTTTCAAATGAAATTACATCTGTTCCCATTTCTTTTTGTAAACTATCCATTATTCTTTGTGAAAATAAACTTGGTAATCTTGTTATGAATCTTTCTTTCCAGAATGAAGCATTACAATCTGGTCTTCGTAATACATTTGTTAAAAACATATCTTTATACCATCTAAAGTCTGATAATGTAGGACATCTTAAATTTGTTAAAAATGTTTTATTAGAGTTTAATTCTTCTTTTGGATTTCCTATGAAATACATTACTATTGTTACTATTAAAAATTCTGCAGCATCTGATTGTATTTGAATATTTCCTTGATCATTTTCAATTTCTTGGGTATGTTCTAATATTGATAATTTATCTTGTAATGTTAAAGCATTATCCCACCAATTTTTTAATTGTCCGGTAAATCCTGAGACTAATAATGTTGCAATATTTCTTTCTTGAATATTTTTAATTTTATAAGCAAGTCTAGCTAATCTCATTTCTTGCAAATTATTTAATACTTCATATTCAGCTTTACCATCTATATTCCATTCGTAAATTGAATCTCCATCATATTTTGTGGTACGAAATTTAGATCTTTCTTCATATTGAATATCTGGAGGACTAGGTCTTGGATAATAATTTTTTGTACTTACCATTCTCCAATTTTTATTGGTATTACCATTTATCCTTCTTCCTCTTATTCTATTTAATTGATTATCTTCTTCTTCAAATTGGTTTTCTATAGGTAATACTAAATTTTCTTCTAAATCTGAACTTATTGATTCTTCTTCTGAGTTTTCGGATTCTTCAGTTGAATTTTCTTTTATAATTTTGTCTAAAGTATTTATCTTGGGTGTTGAAGGTTTTATTTCCGTAATATTTTGTAAGGCTTGAGATGTTTTATTTAATAGGTTATCTGTATTATTTATTTTTTTATTATTAATATTTTGTACTAAATCTTGTTCCTTTGGAGTGCCATTGCCGAGAAGTATGCAAAATAGTTAGTTCGTGGACTACAGCAAATCCATCAAGAAGGTTTTTCGGATGCAGAAATTACGGTGTATGTGCCCAATTGGAATGGGATTTATTTGGGTTCATTCCTTTTTTTTAGGCTAATTGTTTTTTTTATTACTAATCTGAGAATATATGATAATTTGCAGAGGCGCCATGCTTGCAATTTCTTTTTATGGCACGATCCTCCCATGCCGAAGTACACCAAGAACGTGATGGTGAAATTGCTACGAGAGCTAAGAAAAGCAGAGGAGGAGAACATGGAAATGAAGAAAGAAATAAAAAATTTGAAAAAAAGGATCGTGCTATTACTGTTGGTTGTGTTTAGCTGCTGCATTTTATTAGTGATAATGTTGAGTGATAATGCCAAAAAGAGGCATGTAGAGCAAGGACTCAAAATGTTGCAGTAGCTGAGATAGTGCTGGATGTTGAACCTAGTTTAGAAAGCGGCAACCATGTATGAGTAATAGTGCTGGATAGCGGCAACTAGTAGCTAAGATAGTGCTGGATGTTGAGTGATAACTATGTATGACTATTGAACATGGTTAGGTACTTATTTCTCATGTTTAATTTCAATAGAGTTTTACTTTGAATTTGAAAATTCCCAACCTTGAAACCAAACAACAGCAACATAACCAGCTATGACCGCAACTAGATATCAATTATGTCATACTCACCAAAAAAAAAAAATTCTGCAGAGTTTTGCTTTCATTTTTAAGAATCCTAACTAGCAACCAAATACATAGTACGTTAAGGTTTTTTTAGATAACAACCTGAGCAATAAAAAATTTCAGAACCTGCCAATGAGTATCATTCCAACCATTAACAAAAAAGGGACATGTTCATATCAGTTGGACATGATCGTTAGGTACCAAAATAATAGCACAATTCCAGCAAACTAAATGTTCCAACTAATATGATTTAACTAGGGAACTAGGATACATGTTCCATAAGTAGGCTCACAAACAAGGTTTAGCCAAATATTGTTAGCCAAAATACATAAGTAGGCTCAAAAAACTGCCTTCAGGCCCTATATTCTTCAATTAATATATTGATCAACTTTGGATGTGAGCTACTGCAGATACTTGGCCTTCATCATAACCAGCTAGATGGTCTTCAGTTCTGGGTTCATTCTCCTCGACTGGATCATCTATGAGCTTGTGTGCCTGCATAAACATGCAAGTATAAGTGTGCTGTTATAAAGAAAATATGCAAAGTAGAAACAATTAACAATCTCATAAACTAACCCTCTGTTTTACTCTGCGTTTTTTCCCAACTGACTCAACATATGGGCCATAAGCATCCATAGATGCCTTCCGTATTCTCCAAGATTGTGCTTGATATGTAGGACATGTTTTCCTGTTATGTCCTGGAGCTCGACAAATTCTGCATTTTACAGTCTTTGTCTTTTGTTCAGGAACTTCACTAGGAGTTGAAGATGTCAACTCTATTGTTTCAGCTGGTTCTTGAACTTCAGTTCGTGCATAGGGAGCTACAAGGGAAAATAATAATCATCGGTGGCTATATAGATACAATTAACATGCGAGTTGTAATTTGATTATGGAGTAACTATGTCCTGCACCTCCAGTAGCTTGTTCTCCAGCGGGAAAGCCTTGCCAAGCATGATGTTGATTAGCCACAGTAGGACGTAACCCCTCTGTTTAGAGTATTACTCAAAATAGTGTAGGTATTTGGTAGGAATAACAAACCAGCTGTTGAAGTATTTATCTCATTTGCACATCTTTGTTCGCTGTTGTGGATTTTTTGGCACGTTCTTCTATTGTGACCCAACTCTTGACAATTTCTGCACCTATTCCTGTTGACAGATGGCCCCCTACTGCTACCATGTGTAGTTAGCTGCTCCGTTGGTATAAGTCGGGGGCATTTTCTTTTAGTGTGTCCTTTTTCATGGCAGTTTGAGCAACTCAGTGGACATACTCCTGCTTTTGACAGCTTTGTAACTCCATTACTGCATTTTCGAGGTTCATCCGATTCCCTTCACCTTGCTTTCTTAGGTCTTCCAGGAAGTCTCACTTTGTTAGGTGGCAGTACAGGTTCCTTGGTCGAGCATTTCCACACATTTGGACTACTTATTGGAGCAATAGCAGGTTCATATGCAGCCAAATACGCCTCCCTTGAATAACACTTGTGCACATAGTCCTCTGGTTTGCCACCGGCAAGTGAAATGCATGCAATGGCATGGCAACAAGGCAAACCTGTGAGCTCCCATTTTCTACAAGTACACGTACACTTGTCTAGGTCTACCACATAGGTTTCCCCATAGATGTGTTGGATTTCAAATCTTTTGTCATCTGACTGTCGAGCAATATTGGCAGCACACTCAGTTTTTGCCTTTTCCAACTTGTTCTGAATTTTTGGGCAAATGTCATCAGTCCGTTTCTTCATCCATTCTTTTTTTGTCCTTAATCTCTCCATGAGATAAACTCTAATATTCTCAAGCATACCAAGAATTGGTTTTTCTCTGGCCTCTAGGATGACTGAGTTGAAACTCTCACATAAGTTATTCAATAGAATATCACACTTTGCTGCTTCTCTAAAGTGTGATCTTGACCAGTGTTTTGGATTAGTATTGTCTAGCAGCCACCTGTGAGCATTGCCATCATACTCTCTTAAAATTTCCATTTCAGATTCAAATCTCCTCATATAGGATGATCGTGCACACATCCAAAATCTATTGTTAATGGACTATCCAGGGTGCAACTTCTTCATGTTGTTGTGTAGGTGCCGTACACAATGTCTATGCTCTACTCCTGGAACCACTTCTTCAATAGCAGATCCTAAACCCTGCAAGTGTAGACCAATAAGCAAAAGACGATTCATTGGCACAAAAAAAAAATCCAGCAAGCATAAGCAGGACAATATTACCTTTTGCCTATCACTGATGATAGTCCAGCTATTTTGTTCAGAAATTGCCAAATCATACTTCAAGAATTCTATGAACCACTTTCAAGAATTTTTATTTTCGACCTCTACCACGGCATAAGCAACAGGGTAAATGCAGTCATTTGCATCAATACCGACTGCTGTTAACAACATTCCGGGGTGTGGACTCCTCAGGTGACAACCATCCACCCCAATCACACATCTACAACCAGGTTTGAACCCTCTTTTCAATGCTTCAAAGCATATATACAATCTTAAAAATCTCTCCTTACCACTGCTTTCGTCAAGTATGGTTTCCATATGCACTGTTGTCCCAGGATTACACGTAAGCAGTTCATCACAATAGTCCCACAGCTTTCTGTATTGATTTTTGTAACTACCATGAATCAATGACTTGGCATTCATGAAAGTCTTGCTTGCCTGGTGCTTAGTGATGTTGACATTAAGTTCAAGGTGAACTTTTTTCATGAATTGTGCAACTGTCACCTTCTTATTCAGCCTAAGGAATTCCATGTAATGTCTACTTAAGAAACCAGAATTGGCCCGTTTGTGATAAAATGTCCTACCACAATGACAAGATGGTCCCATGGTTCGTATGACAAATGCATCACTATTAGCCTCTTTAGAAGCATAAATGAACCAGCTGTAATTTGCAGCCTTGCAATTAGCCCTCATTCTTCTATTATCATTCTTTTTCCATTGAAAATTTTTTTCCCATTTCACACCATAGTAATCAACTGCCCTCTTGAAGATTTGTTTATCATCGAATAACAACCCAACATAGAATTTTGGTTCTGCCATGTCAATTTCAGGTCTAAACCTGATATATCTTGGCTTCCTCATTCTTAAACTGTCCTCATCCGAGGATTCACAACAGCTATTTAGATCCTCAGTGTTCATTGTGGTTGATTCTTCAAACACTACAATGGGATCTCCACCATATAGATTCCAGTCATCCTTAGAAGCCCCTTTTTTATAACTTTCTGGTTTGCATGCTGTTGTTTTTCCTAGTGCATCAACAGTTGGTTTTGTGGCATTATTTTGACTACCATTTGTCTCTCCATCAGCAAGTGTTTCTCCTCTTTTCTGATCAGCCCCATTTTTGTTACTTTCTTGTTTGCATGCTGCTGTTTTTCCTAATGCATCAACTCTTGGTTTTGTGGCATTATTTTTACTACCTTGAGTCTCTCCACCAGCAAATGTTTCTCCTATTTTCAAATTAGTTTTTACCTCTTTTTCAGTACTAGCAACAACTTTCTGGAAAATCACATCATCTTCATCTTTGCTAAAGTCATAATCACTATCATGAAAACTTTCAGCATCAGTAGACTCTAATTCTTCATCATCATCAACAATAGAGTCACCTTCTTCCTCAATAACTTCAACTAGCACTGTAATATCTTCAAAGGTAGTGCAGTCATCGAAGGTTATGTCAACATAACAACAATTCTCTTTTGACACACTAGACTCAGCCGCACCAACATTATACCTGTCTAATTTACTCTCCAACAACCTAATATGAAATTCTTGTACCAAATATAGTTCAACATCACCAATTTGGCTCCCTATGGCAGCCATATCTGCAACATCATCTTCACTATCTATTTTGCAAAGTTTAAATTCGTTCTCTCTGCCAACTACTCTATAATACATTTTTACATTACCTTCATATCTAAGCAAAATATAGAATGCAGAGAGACTTTTCAAACTCAATCCATTTGTAAGAACACCCTCAAAAGATTCCACACTGCCCCCGACATACTTTTCTTCTGGTGGTCCAAAATATACCCCACCATGAAATATTTTCAGCGTAAAATAATCCAATCTGTGTCCTGTTTCTTTTTTTTTTTCACATAAAGACAAAAAAAAATTTATTAATTATTTTTCACGTGCTCAACCTTTATTCTGTCCCTACTTCCAGTACCGTAGAAGCAACAAAATAATGTATTTTTGCCAACAAAGAGACCACATAAGCTAAAGAAAACTAAAAAAAAAGCAACATTCCAACAAAGTGTGAACTGCCGCAGTAAAGAAAAGTACCACCTGAGCTAACAAAGGGACCACATGAGCTAAAGAAAAGTACCATGAAAGCAACAATGTAATGCAGTTTTGTCAACAAAGGGACCACACGAGTTAAAAAAAAAATAAAAAAAGCAATATCAATCCACATTCCTGACCCCAGACATCAATCCCATATTCATCACAATAGATTCACAATAAGTTTCGACTTACCAGACTTTCCCGCTACCATTTCGGGGGATTTAGCTCCAGCACTCTTAGGTGGTCCCAATTGTTCCGTCTTTACCGTTTTCCCTTTGTCGAAGTCGCTTTCCATCATCAGATTCAGTTGCACTGATGCATATTTCAGTCGGCAGCAAAATGCCCTAAATCGGTTTCACACACACTCTCGCACGAAGTTTTCCTAATTTCGGGCAGTGTTGGACGTAAATCAATTTTGTATCCAAGCATTAAAATCGTCTTGGCATGAAGTGCCCAAAATGCCCCTGAATGGACTGTCGTCTACTTCAATAAGAGACAAGTTTGGAGCGGCGCTGCGACGGAGGTCTTAAATTGGCGTATGTATTTTACTTTGAGGACTAATTTCATAGTTAAAAATTTTTAGGGATCAAATTGGCGTTAGTGAAAATGTTTAGGGACTAAATTGGTGATTTTTCCTTTCTTAAATTGAAAAAATAGATGAAATTGATTTGTGATTAACTAATGGGAAAATCGCCAATTTAGTCCCTAAACTTTATTTTTCTGTCGATTTAGTCCCTATACATTATTTATAGCCAATTTAATCCCTAAACTTGTATTTCGGTTCCAATCAAGGAGTTTCGCGGCGGCGCCACCGTATAATTTCCATCAGTTTCCCAATCAAGCAACAAGAAGGGGTATTTTAGGAACTTCTATTCTAAAGCCTTAACCAAAATTAAAAAAAGGTGCAAACTCCACTGAAGCATTCCGCCTACAAAATTAAAAAGGGTAAACAACAAAAAAGCCCCCTGTGGTTAGGCAATCATACATAAAAACCCCTTGTGGTTTCATATCATACCAGTCGATACCCCGTGGTTTGAATTAACCTGAAAAGTGGACGGAAATCGTCAAATATTCGGCGTGTGTCTTAAACGAACTGCAAAGGCGCGTGCATATGCGAAAAACAGATTTCCACCACAAACTTTCACCTGATATGCCTATTTTAGCCTTCACTCTTTAATAATAAGAGACCAGCTTCCGTTTCTTCTGAGTCTTCATTCAATCTGTTTCCAGATTATTCATTAACTACTGTAGACACCAAATTTTTAGTGTATTTTTATTTACTGTTATTTTTATTTTTCATGCTAGTTTTTATTTACTTTTAGTCTTTTATTTTTGTTTTAAGTCATTTTAGCATAGAATTTATTTTTAAAAAAAAAAAGAGGGAAACCCGCAAGCGGGTTTCAGGCTATTTAACAAATTACTTTAAAAAAAAAAATTTTTTTTACATGCAAGCTGCGTTGAGTTGCACATGCCCATCGGAGGGCCCTAGGATGCCCAGCAAACCTCCCCTCTCATCCTCACCCTTCAGGTGAGGGTTTGAGAGTATGTGTTTGATATAAATAGAACAGAAACGCAGCTTTTAGTCATTTTACATAAGGGGGAAACCCGCAAGCGGGTTTCAGGCAGGCTATTTAACAAATTACTTAAAAAAAAAAAAAATTTACATGCAAGCTGCGTTCTTCAAAAGGGTATTTTCGTCTATTCACTCAGCTCCGTCTGTTTTGCCGATTTCCGTCCACTTTTCAGGTTAATTCAAACCACGGGGTATCGACTGGTATGATATGAAATCACAGGGGGCTTTTATGTATGATTGCTTAACCACAGGGGGCTTTTTTGTTGTTTACCCAATTAAAAAAAGGTGCAATCTCCACTGAAGCAATCCGCCTGCAAAACAAATCATTCGCCACTAAAGCATTGCTCCCACTCCACCGTGAAATTGCTTCAGTAAACCCCCATGACGGGCAATTTTCGACAATTTGTTTCTAGGATTATATCCTCTGTAAACCCCCACTATCCAATTTCAAATTGACATCGTCACTACTACAACCATAGCTATTTCTCCAATGATTCTGATTCCGGATGGTCACGGTCGGCGTCGTGGTAGTGACTCCATTGGCAGAGCCATAGCTGTTCCGCCGGAGAAGAAGTTGGTTTGGATCGGACTTGGGATCAAAATAATCGAATGGTTGAATATCCTTAGCCCTTGATTTGATGGATTGGGACATGAAAGCGGAATCATGGTAGGAGTCAGGAAGAAAGATTCAAAGGGCGAGAGAAGTCAAGGGGTCTATGTGGATGTCCCGGGTGGCAACTCCGTCGGTGAAGGAAGGATTGGCGGCGGCGATGGACTCCTCACGAGGATGAGAGGTGACTCCAAAGGATGAGCTGAGGCCATCATCGGCTTGAGGGTTTTGCATTTGGTTCTGCTGCATTGGTCCTTGCTTTGAAAATCCACCGCATAATTCCGGCGCATTGGGTTTTGCAGGAGATTTGGATTTTGGGTGGGTATTTCTCCATTGAATTGGGTTTTGGGTCTTTCGGGAGATTTGCATTTGGTTCTGCGGCATAATTTCCATCGCCAATTCTTTCGGGAGATTATGCCGCATTTGAAAAGCAAGGACCAAATTCAGACTCATTGGATTTTGAGAACTCAATTGAATTTGGTTTGAGCTCAATTCAGAATCTGATGGAAACTCAAT